AGGAAAAAACAAAACAGAAATAGGAAAAACGACAATGGAAATAGGAAAAAACAAAACAGAAATAGGAAAAACGACAATGGAAATAGGAAAAAACACAAGGGAAGTGTTTCTGGGGAGACAATAACCCGACGGACCAGTTGCAGGAACCCAAAACATTGCAGGTGTGCTTTATATATAATACTGATGACGGATTTTTAGGCTAATAGTCAGGCTAACACACTTACCTTTCATCTTTTGTTTCCTCACAAAACCGATAGATCCTCCACATCTTCCCAGCGCAATTCTTAGCATATTTTGGTTCCTGCAACTGGTCCGTCGGGTTATTGTCTCCCCAGAAACACTTTCCTTGTGCTTTTGGAAATCTGTTTTTTCCTATTTTTGTTGTCGTTTTTCCTATTTCTGTTTTGTTTTTTCCTATTTCCGTTGTGTTTTGTGTGCTTTTGCAGCATTTTTCTTATTGCTGGTGTTTTCTTAAGTTGCAGTCCGTTTGGCCTCTCAGGGCCACCGTACATCTTACTATAACACACAAAATCTGTTTGTTTGCCTACAAAATCCTCCTTCACAATCAGGAGTTGATCAAAAAAATTGGCACAAATGCTTCTTAGGCTCCTGAAGTCTTATCTACACCACATATTGTTGATGTCATAATGTTGCCTAGGCTGGAGCCTATCATAGGTGTCATAGGGCAGGAGGCTATCCTGTAGGTTTGTCACGGGGCTAACACGGAGAGATGGACAACCATTCACACCTGTGGGCACTTTAGAATCACCAGTTAACCCAATCCCACCAACTGCATGTCTTTGAACTGTGGGAGGAAGCCACAGAGAGAACATGCAAACTCTACACAGAAAGCCCACGGCCAGGTGGTGGATTCAAACCCAGGACCTTCATGCCGTGAACTGCTCCACTGTGCTGCCCTAACAATATCTCATTTATAACCATAAAACATATATTATGGTGCCAGCATGTTGCCAAGAAATCACATAGCAATAGACTAAAATACTGGTGAAACAATACTGCATTGTGGGTACAAGTAATCTGTTTCACAATTAAATCACATTCTTGTACTGCTGGAGATTTTGAGATCCAATCTTCATAAGCCATCACACATTAAAAACAAAAACAAAAAGAATGCTTTTCCTCTGGAATAAAATTATAAAACTGCAAAGCTGTGCTGTTGTTGAGTGCTCATTTTGCCATCAAGCTTCAATGAGGAGTGACAATGTGAATGTGAAGTTGCAAATGGATTTTATATCTTACCAATATAAAGAATAAATATATGCAGAATGGCACAATGTGGTGACTCTCTTAGAATGATACTTCCTCAAGTTTTATTGTTTGTATCAGTAAATGATGTGGACGCATTCTGGGAGAATAACCGACTAACAGAAGTCAAGCTGTTCATCAAATTTAAACGTGTGTTTTATTGTTTGCAATTTTCTAAGAGCTCTTAACACAGTGAGAAGAAATAATCCATTTGCAGCCACACTGAACATCGCGGTGTGTAACAGCATTGGACTAATAAGCTATTACCATGCAACCATGCATTCAGCGTTATGTGATTTTAGTGCACAGAACACATATTTGTTTACCTTTCACTTTAAGTTTAGCAGTTGAAGATGCTTTCTCAGCTGTAAACATAATTTCACCCATATCTTCTGGGGTAGCAGACTTGAAAAGCAGCACATAAGTTCTGCCTGGAATTAGAAACAGACATCATCGTGAAAACATCCTTATTATTCCCAATCTTTATTAAGGCAAATCCTGTAGCATTACATGCTTAGCTTAATTAAAACGGTTTTCCAATTTCTTGAGGCCTTACCTTCTTGCCTCATCTTTATGTTGTCAGTGGCTTTGAGTTTTGTGTTTCCTTTGTACCACTGGCACTCCACTTCATCGTGTGAGATTTCACAGGCAAATTTAGCACTCTCCTTCTCCATTACCTCCAAATCTTCCAGCTTCTTAATGATCTTGATATCTCTGGCTGCAGGAAAAAGAGGCCAAGTACAGAAAACTTTACTGAACCTAGATTAATTGTACCTTACTGATTTCCTTACTTTGTTGCATAATTAGTAATTACCATGAACAGTGAGCTTGGCGGAGGTGTTATCATCAGTAGTACGGCAGATGTACGTGCCTCCATCTTCAGGGGAGCATTTGTTGATGGCCAAAGTGCGCTTTTGGCCCAATGAATGAATAGCAAAGTTCTTTCCCGGTTTTAGTTCCACCTCATCCTGTAGATTCGGTGTTATTCAAAATGTTACATGTGTACTGCACACATTTAAATCAGCAGACAGTAATAATTTCTCACCTTGAACCATCTAACATCTGCATTCGCTCTGGACACTTCACATTCAAACGTAACCTTCTCCTTCTCAGGAACACTCATATCCATAATAGGTTTGGAGATCATAGCAGGAGCTTCTGTAGAATCAGCACATTAGACTTTTTTTTAGACTGGATTTCTTTTAAGAAACCTAGACCTCATCAGGACAAACATGAGCCCACCGTTACCTGTGACGATCAGTTTAGCTGAAGTATGCACTCCCTCTGCCTGGAAGGAAATCATTCCTGCATCCTCCTGCTTGAGACTGGACAATGTCAGGATGTGCTTCTTTCCCAGAGCTGTGATATGGCAGTTTGGCCCTGACTTTAATTTGACCCTGTCTCTGTTCCAGGAGCCTTCAACATTGGCCTGACTGAGTTCTACCTCAAGTGTTACTGTCTCTGTTTCACGTGCCTTGGTTTCTGTTAGACCCTTTATTACCTGGATCTTCTTCACTGAAGGGAAAAGGAAAAGAGTGTTAACATGTAGGACTGATTTTGTGATAACAAGCGCCATGACAATGACATTCTTCTTCTTGTATGACATGCACATCATATTCTGTATTTAAAACATTAATCTTGATGAGTCTTACTCTCCACGCTGAGCTTGGCCTGGGTCTTATCATCCAGAGTTTCGCAAGAGTAGATGCCACGGTCAGCATAAGTCACACTCTTGAAGACCAGAGCCTGCTTAGCTCCCTCTACCCGAATCTCCATGTTTCCCGCAGGTTGCAGCACGACACTGTTCTTCATCCACCTGACTTCATCCGATGCCTTACTGAGCTCCACTTCCATCCTCACTTCGCTTTGCTCCTCCACTGTCAGGTTTTCTAGCTTTTTCTTGAAAGTCACAGGTTCATCTGGAAGGGACACAAAGAATGTTAGATGGAATAATGTGTTCATTTATATAAACAGTTAAACAATAATTCCCATTATTATCTTACGTTGCACTTGTAGAGTAGCTTTGCAGCTTTTGCCTTCTGCATCAACACTTATCTCTCCTGCATCTTTCTGAGTGACTGAGGTGATGGTAAGTGAGTGGCTGCCACCACCTTGCTCAAGCTTATACTTCTGCCCAGAAACGATGGGGATACTGTTGTGGAACCATCTGACGCTGACGTCTGCTGGGCTGACGGCACACTTGAAAACGGCATCTTTCTGCTCCGTTGCAACCACGTTGTTCAGTTTGGTGACCAGCCTCACTAATCTTGGTGCTGAAAGGAATAAAGCATAATTATATAAAAGAAAAGGCTTCCATCCTGGAAATATGTTTTTTTTAGTTAAACTAGTTAATTACCTTTAGAGGAGACTTTAGCAGATGTCTTGTCATTTCTACATTCACAGCTGTATTCTCCTTCATCTTCCTTAGTCATGCCAGTCACAGTGAGAATTCGCCTAGCACCATCTGCTCTGACACAGAACCTGCCTCCAGGTTTAATCTCGCGGCCATTATGGTGCCATACAGCATCCCCTGAAGCTTGATTTAGTTCGCAAATCAGGCTTAGTGTACCTCCCAGTTCCACTGTGGCAGGTTTCAAAGGGAGAACAAACTTCAAAGCTGAATCTGAGAAGAAAGCATGACAGGGAAAAGTTCAAAGAAAAATCTTGCATCTGCAGATGAGAGTCAGACTTTTCTATGACCTGCCTTTAACTTGAACTTTGAACTCCAGTTTATCATCCGCAGTTTGACAAGAGTACGTTCCACTGTCTTTCATTTCTGCAGATTTCACTATCAGGGTACGAGAAAGGCCCTCTTTTTTCATTTCATGCTTGCTGCTCTCCTTGAGCTCCACGCCATCTCTAAACCATCTCACACTACCGCCCTCTGCAGTCAGTTCAGTGGATAAAACAATGCTTTCACTTGCTTGAACCACGCATGTGTCCTTGACAGATTTCTTCTGGAACTTTATGGCTAAATCTAGAAAGAAGAATTTCTTTTCAGTACTTTGTACAAATAAGTGGTAATCCATTGGCAACGTGTTATATTTAAAATAAATGTACCTGTTAGCTGCAACTTAAATACCAGCTTCTCTGTTCCAGCCTCACACGTATATTCTCCAGCATCCTTTTTCTCCACTTTTTCTATCACCAGCTCACGAGTTTTGCCCTTAGACTCCATGTGGGCTCCTTTGCTGGAAGTCAGCAGCTTGCCATCCTTGTACCACTTTACCTCTGTCTTGGAATCTGAAACCTCACAACTAAGCGTGGCTCTCTGTGAGAGATAAGTTTTCACTTCCTTCTGGACTGACTCCGTGTTAGAGAAGCCAGCTGGGGCTTCTGACCAGCAAATGGAAAGAAAAAACATCAATCAATGTGAAATGCAAAAAAACGTTAAGCAACTATGACTCAACTTACTGGATACAAACGAGGCAATCTGGCAGAAATACTACACACCAACACTATTTTAAATCTCATTAACATACAGTAGGAAAGTAGTAGAGACAACTTATTGAGCTTACCTAACACCTGTATCTTAAAGGGCAGCTTCTCAGACCCAGCCTCACAGATGTACTCCCCAGCATCCTTCTTATCCACACTGTTGATCACCAGCTGCCGACTCCTGCCTTTTGACTCTACATGAACTGTCTTGCTGGTGGTCAGAAGCTTGCCATCCTTGTACCATTTTACCTCTGTATTGATATCAGATACCTCACAGGTGAGAGTGGCTTTCTGAGAGAGAGTAGCTTTCACCTCCTTTTGGATAGACTCTTTGCTGGAGAAGGCAGACTTCACTTGGATCTCTGCAGAAATAACAGTGATTAATGTCATGGCAATGTAACAAGTTTAAGTGTGATGTGAGATAAATATAACCTAGAAAATCAATTTTCATAGCAACAAAGTGGATAAATACATAGCAAAGCCAAAACCAGGGAACAATATTTAACAGCTAAAATCTAACGTGACCACAAAATATGCAAATATGTGAAAACATCTGCAATTCCACCAAACCAAAAACAAAAAATTCTAAATCTTTCATTGAGTTTCTCTTTCAGTTTTACTCAATTCAGGTGTCAGGAAAATAAACCTAAACAAAGATTTCATAAAGTATTTAAAAAAAATCTCTATAAATGTATAAATCTGTGTAAATGACGAGTCAGATCAGCTGATTGACTATAATGTCTAAATTACAATTTTCACAACCAAAGATTATTATAAGAGCATGATTATTGTCATGTTTTTTGCTTTGTGTTCCAGGACTCTCCTTTTTCTTACAACACCTTTACAATGCCCCACCTAAAAGCTCCAAACTTAGTGCCCACCAGCTTCCACTCAGCTCCACTCAGAGCAACACAAAGAGCCTAGACAGTCATCTGTCTTGCTACAGTTTTTTCTATAAATTCAACATTGATGTATAAAGCTTGATGATTCAGGAGTCAGTGAGTTACTGTAATATTCATTAACAGTAATGACAATAACTATTACATAGTTTTTGTTATATAATTTGCATGTACTTCTCTTTTAGGTGTTAAAACCCTGTATGTTACATCCCCAATTTTCACTTGCTTTTCACATATAACCTCCCACATCTTTCTTCTCTACATTGTCAATCACCATTTAAGTAATCCTGCCCTTTGAATCCATGTGATCTGCTTTGCTGGGATTTGGCGGCTTGTCATCTTTTTACCATTTTGCCTCTGTCTTGTTATCAACTATAATGGAGTAAGGTGACAGTACAATTACCTGTACAAAAACAACAGTTCAACTGAAAGCACACAAAAACGCACAGCAAATGCATGATAACTCAGATAACCAGAACCTGGCAAATAACCAGCTAAAGATACCAGATCTTATAACCAGAGACCAAAACATGGAGCTCAGCAGGTGATTTGAACAACATAACTCAATTTTCTACTCAAAGGCTGCAACAATTTTTATCAAATTAAACCAAATACTGCATCCCACAACTGAAGCAACCAACAATGTATTCAATGCAAACACAAAAACATTTTTTGTGAAGAAGCCTTTGCATTAAACGATCTAAAATATATTTTACATGTTACACTATATTATTATAAGTGTGACATCCATAGAGTCATACCTTGCACATGTATCTTAAAGGCCAGCTTTTCAGTCCCA